AGACATTCTGGCCTTTTGCTCTCTCTGGATCCTGCGGCTGGCTTCTGTCATTTCATCTCTGGTTCTTGGGACTTGAGCTGTCAGCTTATCTGCTGAACTTGGGATTTGTCGCATGCTCTCTGACCTGCTGATCTTGGGTTTGCCAGTCCCTGCAGCTACGTGAATCAGGAGAAACCTTGTGGTCTTGCCTGCAGATCTTGGAATTCATCAACCTTCACAGCCTGTGAGCAGGAGCCCTGCTCTCCAATCTGCCAATCTTGGGCTCACCAGCTTCTGCGGCTGCGTGACTTGGGAGAGGCCTATACCCTGACCCATGGACTTGGGACGGTCTAGCCTCTACAATTGCGTGAGCTGTTTCCTTGATATAAATCTGTCTCTCTCTGTCTCTCTCTCCCTGTATGTATATGCTTTACTGGTTTTCCTTCTCTAGAGAACCCAGCCTAAGACAACCAGTAAAGTGTATAAATATATATAGAGAGAGATTTATATCAAAGAAACAGCTCATGCAATTGTAGAAGCTGGAATGTTCCAAGTCTGGATTAGGATAGAGGCTTCTCCCAATTCACGTAGCTGCAGGGGCTGGCAAACCTGAGATTGGCAGATCAGAGAGCAGGGCTCCGCTCACAGGCTGTGAAGATTGATAAACCCCAAGACTGGCATATATGCTCACAGCTCAAGTTCCAAGAACTGGAAGTCAGACAAACAGAAGGCAGCCACAGGATCCAGAGCAAGCAAAAAGCCAAAACGTCTGCTTAGATTCGGATGCCGGCCACACACCCGAGGAAACTCCTTTTCAACTGATTGGCTGCTCACAGCAGATCCCATTATGGCAGTGATCACACATAAACACTGAGAATCATGGCCCAGCCAAATTGACACAATCTTAACCATCACAGACAGCAACAGGTTTGTTTTTTGTTTTTGTTTGTTTGGTTTTTTTTGGTATTTCCTAAGAACAAGGGCATCTTTTTACATAACCATAGTTCAATGATCAAAATCAAGAAATTCAATATTGATATACTACTCTTGTCTAAACCACTGTCCGTACTCAGATTTTCATGATTGTCCTAAAAACTCTTCAGTATCTCTCCGGTTTACCCCACCCTCCTTTTTGGAGGGGAATCTCAGCCTTTTAAAATTGTTTTTGGTGTTTTATGATCTGGACTTTTTAAAGAGTATCTGTAGGATATCCCTCGATTTGTCTGATCTGTACTGTGTTGTAATTTATACATCTGCAGGGAAATTTGTTAGGATAGAATTTTTAAAGCTATTTTAGAGGGTGTCCAAGAAGTGGATAGCAATGTTCTTTGCTATTCCTGAGGGGAAGGAAAAGTATTGCGTATTACTTTGTAATTATAGTACATCGATTTCAGTTTGTTTCTTTTTGAAAGCTGTGAGAATATTTACCACTCCACCAGACACACACACAAAACAAGAACAACAACAACAAAAAAAAAAGACAACACCAACTTGAGATCAATTGTGTTTTATGCAACACATTTAGAAACAGAAACTAGAATTGGGCACGGGTCTATAACCTGGTAGTTATATTATCTTATGTTTTGGTAGCCTTAAGACCAAGATTGTACTGTGCTCATCTTTTTCTCCAAGCCCTGAAGAGATGTTCATTCCCATAAAACTCCACACTCTAGACAAGTACAGCTAGATTTCTCAGTAGCTGCCCTTTGGCAAACTGAAATAGAGGAATGGAAAGGGAAGGTAATGCATTAAGACCCGAATAATAGCCCCACGTCTCTAGGAAACTGTTCTATCATTGTAAGCCGAAAATTCAAGATGACCACATGCCTGGGATATAAATTCATCAAAGATCAAGGAACAACTCCAGATGCCACTTCCATTAAATCTGAGGTATAAATTACTGGTTTCTGCATAAGCTTTGGTTATACAGGATAACAATCAGAGCAGAACTGATGTCTGAAAAAGACCACTGTTTCCAAATATCGTAGATTGCTAACATAATAACACATCCCAGTCTTGTGCTTATCCTCTGTGTATAAGACTATATTTTATGGGATGTGAAATGGCAATATGAACAAGTTCTTGACCTCTGACTCCTAAGAAATATATGAACGGCTTCTGCTATTTTGGTTCCTTTATTTCTTTGCATATTACCAAGCATTGGAACAAAGCAAACATCATTTTAATTTTCACCTGCCAAAATGGCTAAAATCAATCTTTCTGTATTCAATAAACAACTCACTGTGCATAGACGGGTAAATTTTATTAGATGGTGAATAGCAATGGAATCTTGCAGCTAAATCATAAAATAAAATCCATATATGTGACAAATTTCTTTCATTCCGTGACCATCTTCCCAGGTAATCATATATAATATGAAATATGAATTTTTCTTATGACCTTATGTGTACAGGGTAAAATACAATGATGCTGTAAGTCATGCTCTTCATATAAAGTGGTTTATTTTCAGTCAAGCGTTAGAAAATACTCCCAAGACTAGGTCATCTTTCAGTGCAGAGCTGATCTATGTCAATCACGGGCACTCTCTCTTTGGTCATTTATTCAACCAACAAACTTTGATCAAAAAACTACACTTGGACAAGGCACTAGAAAAATAAAGATGAATTAGGACGTATTACTGCCTTCATGGGACTCAAAGTTTAATTAGGGAGAATGACATATCAGCAGACCATCACAAAGCAATGTTAAATGCATAGATTCTTATGGAAGTACTCTCTGAGGCGTAGGGCCTAAGCCTGATTGGGGAGAAGGTAATGTGAAATGTCATCCTCTTCATAAACTCCCCTGCTCCCTCGTCTAGGTCAGGCACCCTTTCTCCACACTTCCATATGAATGTGTATGTTTCTATCATGGTGTTTACCACACTGTATCACAGCTTAAACCCTTACTCACTGGATGACTTGGACCAAGAGAGACAACTACGTCACAGTTTTCTCCTTTTATAATGGGAATAATTCATCCATTCACTATTGATTGTAAATCTTTCTTGTGCTAGACACTGTTTTAAATATAATAATACATTTTTTAACATTATAAGGGTCATGTGAGGATTAAGTGAGAGAAACGGTATAAAGTATTTAACCGAATATCTCAAACATTGTAAACTTTCAATAAAAGTTGGCAATGTAATTGTTATTATATTGCATAATTTTGGTAACAACTATATTTTTAGTGGTTTTCTATATTTTTACAGAGTCCCTGGGTGGTGCAAATGTTAAAGCATTCACCTGCTAACCAAAAGGTTGAAGGTCCAAGTCCACCTAGAGGCACCTTGGCAGAAAGGCCTGGCAATCTACTTCTAAAAAATCTGCCATCAAAAACCCTATGGCACACAGTTCTACTCTGATGCACATGGAGTCACCATAAGTTGGAACTGACTCGATGACAACTGGTTTATATTTTTACAAGCATGTTCTGAACGTATTTTAAAAATAATTGTAACATATTTTTTCTTCTCTCATGAAAACCTGAACATCTTGAGGAATTCCAGATAAAGCTCAATAGTATTTAACTATATATTCTGTGACGACCCTTCTTTCAGTCCAGGGCTTTGACCACTGCCTGCCACACACAGGATGCCAGTGTATATTTGTCTATTCAACTTAATTTTGTGAATTTTAGCTGGTTACAGCTTTAGCCTGAAGATCAGCATCTTCAAATTAAGGATTATTAAATCATTTATTGAATAGTTGTTTTGTATATATATTCATTCCTCTCTGTCTCCTGTAGGAATATATTCTTCTGAAAAGGAAGAAAAGACAGGCAAGTCTGTGCGCCTCAAGAACTGAATGAGTGGGGTTCACTATTTTAACCTCTGCTAGGGAAATAAGGCAGACTTTTCCTTCTGGAAGTTTACCCTTTCGAGCTTGTTGTTGTTAGTTGCTGTTGAGTCAGTTCTGACTCATGGCAACCCTACATGTGCTCCATAGAGTTTTCAAGGCTGTGATCTTTCAAAAGTAGATTGCCAGGTCTATTTTCTGAGGTGCCACTGTGTGGGTTTGAACTGCCAATCTTTTGGCTAGTAGTCAAGCACTTAACCCTTTGCCCCTCCCAGGGGCAGACTACAGGCTATCAAGAAACTAACCCATGAAATAAATGTTTCATTGTATTTTCTTTTATTATTTTAGAAGTATTGGGTCAATACACTTGCCTTGTGCATACCAAACTATATCTCATAATATCATTTGCAGAACTTTGATTGAACAAGCATGTAAGTGTCTGGTTTCTTACTCTCTTAATGGATTCATGTATCTGAGATATTGCAATCTAGGTATAAAATGCCAAGATTTTATTATAACCAATATTTGCTAAGTAATGTTCTGTACATAAAAAAGCCACACATAAAGATACTTACACATAAATTCTTTGTCTTTTTTTGGTTATCAGAAAATACATCACTGTTTATTACCTTTTTTTCTTCTGGATAATACTTCTCCAGTATGAATTTCCACTGGGATTAAACTAAGTGAATTGAAGGAAGCATCACCAAATAGATTTTTTTTCTGGTAATGAATCCCAAAGCAACTGTTGTCATGTACTACCAAAAAAACCGAAACCAATCCCGTTGCTGTTGAGTCTGATTCTGACTCATAGAGTCCCTATAGGACAGAGTAGAAGTGCCTCATAGGGTTTCCAAGGCTGTAATCTTTATGGGAGCAGACTGTCACATCTTTCTCCAGTGGAGCAGTCGGTGGATTCGAACCACTGACCTTTTGATTAGCAGATGAATGCTTAACCACTGTGCCACTAGGTCTCCCACTGTCATGCACTGGAGGAGCCAGAAATCCAGGAGTATGATTACATTTATTGACATCGTTTGAGATCTGTCTTCCATTAAAATATATATATATATATACACATACACGCACACACACACACACACATATATAGTGTCTTGCTACCCAGCGTCATTTTCATATTACAGTATCATTAACAGAGTGGTCTCCACTTCATAAGGAGAAACCTCAGCTTGTAGAACCTCTATTTAGTCCAGTTAAGCAGTTTCATTGTATTAGAGCCACATCTGACTCGTAGCCCTTCCTTCATTAACCCTTGAACTTTGAAGTATCCATACACTCACAGCAAGAAAGGAAAGAAATGCATGAGATTTGATAATGGTGTTAAGGTGAAAGCAGAGCATAAAAAGCACCATAATGGACCCCTCAAAATTCAGGAAAGGTTCCCATGTAGCATCTCAGCTTCATCTGGATTAATTGTACTTTGAATTGTATTTCTGAACCCTTTGACCCAAAGAGATTGTAAATTTCAGGGGGATAGATCGAATTTTGAATCTTTAAAATAAGCACTTATGTAAGTTTTGGGACACAAAGAGATAGATCCTAGTCAAATGATTGTTCTATATTTTTTATTCTTTACCAAGACAGTGCTAAGCTACATTCATTGCTTATACTACCTTTCAACTTTCTGTTGGTAAGATGTTTTTATCCCTCCTCTCCCCTGCGATTTCTAAGCAGTTCTGAACTCTCTCTTTTTTAGATAGGGGTGGGGAGGGGTGTGCACAGCTGTTACAGAGAGATTTACCCACAGTCTGTAGCCAAACTTGGAGGGCACCATGAGGTGACAGCTTCATGTGGGGAGGGGGCTTCCTTAGACCCTTTGATTTTCCCTGGAGGCAAAAATGCTGAACATCAGTGACATCCAGTTAAAATTTTGCTACTTTGTTGAAAGCAGGTCCAGTCAGTAGGGCAAGCCCCTCCTCATGATTCCTGGATAGAGAGATACTCATGAGAATTTTGTCGACTTTACATCTTCCGTTTGTTGTAACTTTGTAAAATGTGAACATATCTTCATGTGACTTGCCTAAAGTGTAACAGACAACAGTCAAAATTTAGGAAACCCATGAGAAAAGAGCAGTTAATTAATTTTATAAGGAGCCCTGGTGGTGCAATGGTTAAGCACCATGCTGCTTACTGAAAGGGCAGCAGTTGGAGCCCACCAGCCATTCTGCAGAGAAAGATGTGGCAATCTGCTTCTGTAAAGATTACAGCCTTGGAAACCCTATGGGGCAAGGTCTGCTCTGTCCTCTAGGGTCTCTGTGAGTCAGAATTGACTCTATGGCAGTGGGTTAATTAATTTTATAGTGAATTTTAAGGGGCTTTTTGTTATTATAGGGGGATTTGACTGTTTACCTCAACAGCCAGGTTGTAATCGCTGCCATTTCTAGCAACCAGCTCTGTGAC